CGATAAACAAGTGCCAAGCCTTCTCAATGGGGGTTTTAAAGTCTTGTTCTATGGAGGCTTCTTCCAGGGCTGTTGTTATGAATTCCTTACCAGCTTCTAACTAGGCAGATGTGAAAGTTTTCCGCCTAAACTAAGGGTCAAAGATTAAAGAGCGTGCCTTCAAACAGGTGTTCTGAAGAGCTAATTAAAAATCTGACAAGTTTCCAGCACCTCAGATGGTAAGATTATATGCCTCCCTCAATGGAAAGATCTGAATCACAACAGCCTAGAATTTCTGTGTGAAACTGTATTTCTAGAAAGTCTACAATTCAAATAAAAGGGGTGATTTATCTAAAAATTATCTCAAAATTTTATTAATATAATTGTTTATTTACTGTACATTTTAAATGAATGGAGAAAACAATTCTTTTTTTTTTTTTAAAGATTTGTTTTCATTAGAAAGTCAGATATACAGAGAGGAGAGGAGAGACAGAGAGGAAGATCTTCCATGCATTGATTCACTCCTCGAGTGGCCACAGCAGCTGGAGCTGCACCAATCTGAAGCCAGGAGCCCAGAGCCTCTTCTGGGTCTCCCCCACAGGTGCAGGGTCCCAAGGCTTTGGGTCATCTTCAACTGCTTTCCCAGGCCACAAGCAGGGAGCAGGATGGGAAGTGGAGCTGCTGGGATTAGAACCGACACCCATATGGGATCCTGGTGCGTGCAAGAAGACTTTAGCTGCTAGACTACCATGCCAGGCCCAAGAAAACAATTCTTAAATTCTATGGTGGAAAAATGAATCTTAAATTCCCATGCTTGGGCCCTATCCCAAAACAAATAGATGGATGGCTGGGAGGATGGACTTGATAAAACTCTTTAATGTTATGAATATTCAACCTGGATCGAGAACTCCCGATTTGGAAATAGAACTATTTTAATATGTTTTGAATCTGGAATGTGTGCTTATGCATATACAGGGAAGCAAAATAGGCCAGTCTTGGTTGAATTGACATATCTGCTAAGATTATGGTATCCTCTGGGTACATTCCTTAACCTATTGTCTCTGGCTTCCTTGCCTTTAAGATACGATCATTAGCTGTTTAACAGATTTTTGGGAGTGTTACATGTGATTATTATTACATAAACAAAGTACCTGCTTAACTCTGGTTGTTGCTGCCATTTGTTTTTAATCAAAGACTGTTAGGAACATTAAGCCGGTTTCCCAGACTGGCTTATTAATATAAATGAAAAGATTCTGAGCAGAGGTACAGAGATAAAAATGCATCATCCTGATAGTAAGTACAATAGACCGTCCTGTCATATTGCAAATTTGTAAATAAATCACAGCCAGATCCCATCAATGTGTACTTGTCTTACAAGTTAGAGCATGTATAAATTTTCTTTCCAGTAAAAGATGCTCCTGGGGATGTCATTATTATTCTCTATAATAAATGTAAATAAAACTTCCCAGGTAGTATTTTACACTTGAGCCAGAAGCCCTGTTTCTACGCAGTTACCTAGAAATTGTGGGCTCGACTATGCCTGCTTTCATGCCAAATAGCTCATTCAATTATACTGCAACTTAATTGCTCAAAAGTTCAGGATCTGCAATTCCAGTCGGCAGAGACAGAGAGGAGAGAGCTTTCTCTGCATTCCCGTTTCTTCTCATATAAGTTTTAGGCTTTTTTTTTTTTTTTTTTTACTATGACATCAGTAAACTATAGGAAGTCAGAAATACTAGCTATGTTGGGATATGGGCTGGTAATACAAACAGACTTTCTTGAGGACAAGATGGGATTTTAGGCCAGAATGAATAAATGTGGCTTTGTGACAATGACCTGATACTTCCTCTGGTGCACGCAGTCTGCTCATGGACATTTTTCCTCCACATGTGCATCTTTTCCGTTACCCAGAGCACACCCTGCTTTTTGTTCTTGGCTCACCAGCATCGTCTTTTACTAAAAGGATCATACTAGACTACCACTAACTGGGCTTAGGTTTTTGTTGTTTTTCCCATAATAATGATAAACTTTCATTGATTTACCTAAACGAGCATATATTTCTTTTCATTAGTACTTTTTGCCAAATTGCAAACTAATAAAAGCAAACTCTATTTATTTGGCAGGTTACCATATGAGTAAGGTATACAAAAATACTACTGACAAATCAAACGTGATATTTGAAGGTACATAATTTTTAATGTTTAACTTGTTTTTCCTGTCAGGAAAGTGTTTTAAGGTATGAAAGTAAAAAAACAGATTTATTTAGCACCAGCTAGTTCTGACACCAAGGAACGAGCTTTATCTATTATTGTATTTGATCTTCAATACAAGCTTGAAAAAAGGAAAATGGCTTAGAAAATGACAAGTTTTATTGTTAGAAACACCCGATGTAAGTTCTAGCTGAAACCCGACTTTTTAAGTGGTTATAGGAAAGTTTCTTAACCTTTCTAAAAGATAATCTTTGTGCAACAATCTGTAATGGTATCTCATAATTGATATATGGGATAACATTTTGTTGTCTCCTTCCTCAAAATAGAAGAAATATCCACATGAGAATGAAAGTATTGGCACATTAGTGACTGAGCAAGTAACTTTAAACAACTTCTATGTTAATCTCCTTTAATGAAATGTGGACAAGGTGAAGTGGGACTATGTATTAACCCTTCCTAAATGCAAGATCATTGAGGGCTGTTAAGTAGGTGTCTATTCTGTAGCATACACAAGTGGCTGGAATTAATGCTAATAATTGAGTTGGGCCTTTCCCCAAAGCCTCGGCTTCACCTAGGTTAGAGTGTTGCTTGGGAGCTGGTCTATTGAGCATGACTATGACATCATCTGGGCATGACTGTGAAATGAGGAAGAGTGGGAGAAGGAAGGTGAAGCATGAAAAATGAGCCCAAGGCACAGTAACCAGCTCAACAAGAAATGCAAGCTACTGCTCGGAATGAATTGGCTTCCCTGGAGTAAAGCAGATACATGAGGCCGAGGCAGAAATGCCATTCTCATCCCATCCCAAACAGTAGCACTAAAGAAAAAAGAGGGGGAAAAAGCTCTTATTTTAAAGGATTTTAGAGATTTTGTGTATGAAGTACTTAGCAAGTTCATATATTTATTACAAAAACTTATTTTGTCCTAAGATATGGATTCATACACAGAGAACATTATCCCTCCACACGCCCACTTCCCTTCCTCTCTCCCCACAACAAATTTATATTTTGAAAGCATCAATGATCACTATATCTTGGAAAGTGCTTATTAGCTAAGTATTATCATTAAGGTCACATTAGAGTTACAGGAAAAAAAGATACAAAATCATTAATGCTGGTCTGGTATAAAAAACAATAAAAACTGTAATTACAAACAAGCAACAAAAGCAAATTAGACTTCATCTTTTTTTTTTTTAACTTAGAAACACTGAAATGTGCTTTGATGAATGCTTTATAGAAGGGAGATAAATAACCTTGCAATTGGTTATTTATCTGGGACCCAAAAGTTAATCTTTCACATAGTAGGTGAATTTGATGTCAGGCTTGTAGGATAGGAAGCATGCTAATGTCATTAGCCATGTCTACCATGTATTACCAGCTCCTACATTTCCATGTAATATGTGTATTTTCAATAATTTCAAAAAGCATCAAGAACTTTGAAATATGTTTAAAAATTTGATATCAGTAATTCTACTTATTTTGGATAATAAAGTCTTGCAGTAGAACAATTTGATAGAAAGTTCTTGTCACTTTTAATTGGATATGAGGAGAATTTATACAAATTAAGACAGTCAAATTTAACATTATTGGGATCCTCATTTTGCATTTTTCAACCTGATTAAGAAGAACCATGTTCAAGTATTCAATAGTTATAAACAAATATCTCAGATTCAAACTGTTGGCTGCATTTTCATAAAGTTAAAGCTTATTTTACTTTTGAAACTTGATTTGTATTGCTGGTTGCTGATTTTCCTTTGAATAATTACACACATGTGGATTTCCTAGATTAATACCACATTATTAACCTAGATAACAGTGCCTTAGAACATCAAGGTCATGCCAGTGCTGTCCATAGGATCTAGGGCTGATTGGAATGGTCGCCTCTACTCGATCCTCATGTGTGGATATAGATCAGGAGAATCCCTAACTCTGGGCTTCAGGGATGAAGCAAAATAATAGAAAAGAATACAGATAAATGAGAACTGGCTTACATTTCTTTCTCAGGAAAGGAAAGTGCATCACTTCCTTCATATTTGTTTTAACCCACAATTGCTACATAACTATGTCTGATCTCAAAGAAATCAGAACAGCATGTTTCTTCAATGTTACTGGCGGTCAGAAAATAGGGATATTGGTTGAATCCATAGTGATCACTGTGAAAGGCTTCCTATCACTCCTATTTTGCATCAAGACCACAAAAGTCATATGTAGCAGAGGGCAATTAGCAGATGGAGCACTTATGTTCTTCTAAAATATTATCCTTTAACCTAGTAAGCTCTACTTCTTTATTTGACACACTCAAATAAATATTTGCACTTCTTTGAGAGACTGAAAGGTAGAGATTTTTGAAAGAATAAATGAGAGTGAAGGGAAAGGAAAGAAGATGCAGGGGCCGTGCAGCAGAAGGAATCTTTAAGTGGTTCATCACATACAGCACAATGTTACTTTGAGTGTTGAATGCAGAAAGGTGAGTGCTTGGCACAGTGGCTGAGATATCACTTGAGATATCCACATCTGATATTGGGGTGCCTGGGTTTGAGTCCTTTCTCTGCTTTTGGTAGCAGTTTCCTGTAGAGGTGCACCCTGGGAGGCAGCAGGTGATGGCTCAAGTAGCTGGTCCCTTGCCATCCAAAGGGGAGACAAGAACTGAGTTCTGGGCTCCTGATTTTGGCTTGGCCTTCTCAGGCACTGGGAGGCATTGGGGAGTGACCCAACAGGGGGAGGATATCTGACTGACTTTCTGTGTGTCTTTCAAATGAATGCAAAATTTAAAAATATCTTTGAATAATGAAAGTCTTTTTTTTTTCTCCCAAGGAAAACATAAACATTGAAGAAGCCTCCAGATGCCTGGTGAAGCACATACTAGCCAATGAGTGTGACCTCATGGAGTCCATCGAGCCGGACATCGTGAAGCCTCACCTCGCGTCAACCAAAGTCGTCAGCTGCTCCAGCTGTGCCAAATCCTAGCAGGCCGTTTATTTATTTTTATTTTTATTTTTACTGGCAGATGATAGTAATGATCCAATCATGCCATACATTGGGCCTCGTTTTTGTTTTTCACCATTTTTCTAAATGTCAGAATAGGGAAACAAACTAGGCAGGCCAAAGATCTATGCCTCTGTCTTCCCTAGAAGAAACAGCAAGTGTTGTTTTCTCCCCACCATCAGCACAGTGTTTACATGCTTTTTTTTAAAAAAAAAAAAATTGTTTTTAGTCTGTTACAGATTTCTGTTTTATAGCTGACCGAAATTCTGCAGGATCAGAGTCAGCCTTGTTATTGCCTTTTTAAAATCAGCATATGCCTAAGGACTCAAGGAGACTAAGAGAAGAACAAATTAGCCGTCAGTTTTATCATTGACTGCTGCCTTGCCCTCAGTGTCTTTGTGCAAGTTTCAATACGTCTCTGATGGTCTGACAGGCCCATTAGGTAGAAGAGCGGTGTTCGCCTGAGATGACCTCCGTTCCAGGCAGAGCTAAGAGCTGCCTCTGATTTAGCTCTTCAGAGTCATGTACACAGGCTTCCTGTGCTTTTGTTGCCTTCATTGTCACTTGCCATGCATTGAATGTCGCTTTAACTGAAAACTGTATGAATGGCTCTGTCGCTTGTGTATGGCCCTCTGTGACCTTTCTCTGACTCAAGCTGTGGGGCTCTTCTGTACATGTAATATATATTATATATATATATATTTTCACATGTGGAAATAAAACATTCAAAAATGCTGTTTCCCTATCTAAAAATGTTTCAAGTTTCTTATTTTGATGATTATTTTATTATTATTACTTTTTTGCAGTGTAACTTTGGTTCTCAAGATATGTTTCCAAAATTTTCTTTCAGGAAGAAGACAGGAAATACACACTTACAGTGACTGCTGGACATATTAAACTTGCTTGGCTATTCCACTGACACTTACTAATATTGACATTTAGTTAAAAAAAATAAGAAGGGCATACAAATTTAGGGGTATATATCTTTACATATTTTGATAAAAATTAATGCTCAGCCAATGAACAAAGATATAACAAACAGTCCCAGTCCTGCCCTGTTTGGCACAATGGCTACAGTCCTGATATACTGCAGGTAGCTCCTATTTTTTTTTTTTGATGCCCATCTCTCTCTCTCTCTCTCTCTCTCTCTCTCTCTCTTATATTCACAATCTATTCTTGGGAACTTCCTTTTTGTCACAGGGTTTTTTTTTGTTGTTTTTTTGGGTTTTTTTAGTGTTCTACTTACGTTTTCTTGACATTCACTGTTTCTATAATCACCAATCACATGACTTCTTTTAAGTATCTATAACCTTAGCCCTAAAGACATTCTGTGGACCTTGGAGCATTTGGCCCATGAGGCAGGCTAAATGGAGATGCCAAGGAGTTAATGACTTCAGGAGTAGCTGTCAACCAACCATAGAAACACAATTTGGAGGCCTACTGAACGTGGTATTTCAGAAGTTCCCCAAGTTCCCACAGGAAAATCTTTCCATGTTATTCAACCTTTATTAGTTTGCTGGCATGCCATCCTATCTCTCTTTTTTTCTTGTTCAACATCTCTACTGGCCATCCTGGCCATCCTGGTTATATTTACCAAATAATCTACTTTCACTCAACTCCTTGTATCAGGGTTTTCTTCCAGGAATCTCAACCCAACTCAGGACAGAGGTGATTCTAGGAAGTATACAATGAGTAAGAGCTTCCTGGTTTGGATCATCCGCCACCCACAGGATAGTCTGGACCTCATGCTCTTGGAATGCAGTGGCAGGCTATAGCTCCATAATTACAAAGACATTCATCAAATGGATAGGACACAGTTGGAAGAGGTTTCTCCTTTCCTATGTTTTTAACACCCAAGAGATTGTGGAATTATCTACTGTCATAGAAGTCCTGAAGGAAGAAGAGATTACAGACTCAGGTCTGCTAAGGAACATAGCACTAGTGTGAAAGCAGAAGCCAGCAAGCAACAGTCAAGATAATTTTCATTTGTTTCATCTACAGGGAAGGCCATGCTAAAAATTAGGCTCCAGGTTTGGTTTTAGAAGAGGGAATTGTAAGGGAGCCTGAGCTCACAGAGCCAACAAGCCTTCTTCAATAAAATCAGGACCTCTTAAGGAAAGGAATGGAACGATATTGGAGGAGGCATTTGAGTAGATATCCTTCAGAGCCCTGCTAAATTCTTTGAAATGCTGGCTCAAAAAATATCCCTTTGTGTTTCCATGGATAAAAGCCATTTGGCCTGCCAAAACCAAATTGTAGTAGGATATTTTAGATAGCTTTCCACTCCTCAGATTCAGCTCCCATTTGCAATCATTATTTCTAGAGAAATTACTTAATCCAGGTTTTAGCAGGACCTGAGTGGAAATAAATGGTCTCTGTTGCAGGAGGAAATGGAATACTCATTAGATGAACTATAGAGTTTGGCTAATGAATATTAGTAGTAATCTGGAAAGCATCCCTAAGAATTTCATTCTAGATAGTGAGTTATTGGAACAGCAAAGGCAGAATATAAGATGATACAATAAATCATCTGTTTATGTGAGGACATTCTTTGTAAATTACCTTTTACTCTTATGACATGTCAAGCTCAAAATTGGTCTTAATGTGCTACTGAATGGCACCCTTACAACAGCAACAACAACAACTTTATTTGAAAGGTAGAAATACAGACAGGGAGGGACAAATAAAGGTATTTTCCACCTGCTGGCTCACTTCCCAAATTACCACACTTCTGAAGCTGAACCAGTGCGAAGCTAGGAACTTAAAACTCCATCTGCATTTCCTACAAGGGTGGCAGGACCCAAGCACTTGAGCCATTTTGCATTGCTCAGACAGGCTTGTTAGCAGGAATCTGTATCAGAGTAGAGCAGTGGGACAAAAAAGGTGCTCATATGAATGCAAGCATCATGGTAGCTTACTTCACTGCAGCAAGATGTTGACCACTGTAGCTTTGTTCTTTTGCCTCAAGGCAGCCCATTAAATTTCTGTGACACAGGATAACTTGCATTAAACACCAGCTCCAATGTTGAGTTCAAGCCAAATCTCTACAGAACTCTGCAAGGATGGTGTCTGGGCATTTACATATTTTAAATGCATGATATGACTATTTTCCATTCCCCTTTGTTCCCCATACTTTGGTCTGTTTGAAGTTAGTGGGAAATACAATGCTACACTGAAAAATAGGTGCTTGACACTGATTTTGCACTATCAGAGGTCACTGAGTCTGTACTTTGCCACTGCATCTTAAACCCTGATCGAGAAAGTGGTGAGCAAGTTGCGGCCTATTCTTCCATGAGCCATTGTGATGTATTTTGTGCTGAAGCCTAAGGGTTTCCTAACCTGGTGCACCATCAGCTGTGGCATTTAGAAATTATAAGCAGATGTAGTGAAGTTTGACTTGAGAATTTTGTTTAATATCTGTATCTGATTGTAGGTATTTTCTAGCCTTTATAAATTATAACGTTATTATTTGTATGGTAGAATATTTGTAGATACAGGGATTCCTCCTTTACCTCCTCTTAATCTTTGTGCATACTCCTCTTCTACATTTCCCCTTTACATTATTACAGTGGCGTAGTCCTTTTGTAACAGTTACAAGTTTAGCATTCTGCTGTTTAAGTGTATCACACCATTGTAAGCTTAGCCAAAGGTAGGAAATCTGGCACATGGCCAAGTCAATATGATGAGTGCTCAGACAGCTGAAAATTGATCTCCTTATGACCTAGCTATCCTACTCTTGGGAATATATCCAAATGAAGTGCAATGTGCATATGAGAAAATAACCTAAACCCTAGAAATATAGCAGTGCGATCTACAATAGTGAAAACGTGAAAACAACTCAGATGCCTGTTGAAAGAAGAATGGATAAAATAACAGTGATACATCTACTTCATGGAATATTTCTCAGCTATTTAAAAGAATGAAATTCTATCATTTGTAACAAAATGGTTCCAATTGGAGACCATTACACTCAGTGAAATAATCCAAAACAATCCTCAAATTCTCTTTATTATAAGGTACCATACATGCAAAATACAAAGCAAATAGATACACAGGTGAGCAATTATATAAACATATTCTCATAGATGAACTGTAAAATGGAGACTAGTATACCTGGAAGAGAAGATACATTGCAGTATGCATCTCTCCAGTTTTGAATAAAAGAACTCCCAATGAGTCCATTAAATACACCCTGAATAGTTCCCTGAAGCTTACAACTGATACTTTTCCTGAAATAAATGGTGTGGAATTCCTTAACTCCCTTGCAAAACATTGGAAGAGATCCAATATCTCACAGAGGTGGGAATATTAAACTATATTTTTAAAGGTCACAGAAACTTTGAGATGATGATGTTCCCCAAGGAACCTGGAATATGTTTCCATCATTAAAGCAAGTTTTTTTTTTTTCTCAAAAACAGTGATGTGTCCGTTATTAGCTCAGTGGCGGTTATTCTCTGTGAATCCCATTTGAGATTATAGTGATATGTTTTAATAGGAATGCACTTATAAGAAAGTTTGGGATATGGTACTACTATTAAACAATATTAGGATATTTGATTCTGTGTTTTAGATAATTAGGACCAAAAGACAGAAATAGAATTGAACCTCTCATTGTCGCTTTTAATAGTCCACTTAAAAAATCTAAGTCCCCCTTGCCATAAGTTTAAAATCTGCAGCTGGAAGTCTGGATACTTCTGCCAGGGGACACAGAGAAGTTCCCAATCAGTCTGCAGATTATTGTTCTGCTTGATTATTTTGGGGGCCTTATGTTCGTAGACCAGCACTCACAGAAGACATTTACTGTACTGGCAGGGGAGATTTATGTTGTCAATCAAGTGAAGGGAGAGTGCTTCAGAGTAGCCGCACAAAGAACAGTGTGTCTGGAACTCAGGGTTCACCAGAGTGTCTTTTTATGCTTCCATTGCTGATAAAAATGGGAAGAACCATTTATACAGCAACATCTCAGATTATCAGTGATTATTCTCATCATTAAATATCTGAGTTATTGCATTATACAACAAACTTGGGTGTGGTGAGGATGATCAGTGATATCAATTATGGTCTCAAGACTCACTATGTCAGAGAAGAAAGTTAACTTGTTCTACCAAACTCCCATTGTAAAGTTCTCTTTCTCTCTTTGAAATTACTATTAACTTGAAAAAAACCAATGAAAGGACACGTAACCTGCAGAGGTGTGAATCTGAGTGTGGATGGGGTGGGCTGCATGTCACTGCAGCCTCCTGTAACAATCCCAGTAGCTCTCAGAAATATTCCTTCACATCCATTGGTCATGTTTATCTTGACTGTTGGTGAGGCCAGAGTTAAAACCTTTCAGTGTAGCATCATGCACACTGGACATAAATTATCAGACAAATGCTCTGACTGCCCTAACCCTCCAGTGGGATACATCTGAAGCTTGCTCTCCATCCTCCCTCAATGATTTATGGTAGGATTAAAGCAGACTTTGACACAGTGACAACCTCATTATCACAACTTTTCCAATTTCCTTCATATCCCATTCCACTTCTCTATTCCCCTACTAGTACATCCAAGAATTATATCCCAATTAGGGTTTTTCCCCCATATTTAAAAATTGTGCTGCAAATGCAAGTAATTCCTAGAATACTTGGGATCCCAAGCAAATAATTCCAATATCACAGATTATAAAGCTCACTGCTTTTCTTTCCAATGATCCACTGAATTAGGGTGTCTGAGATATGTAGCTTAAGAGCTT